AATCCTAAAATTTATATGGAACCACAAGACTCCAAATAGCCAAAGCAATCTTGAGAAAAGAAGAACAAAGTTGGAGGTATCACGCTCCCTGATCTCAAACTATACTACAAGGCTATAGTAATCAAATCAGTATGGTACTGGCATAAAAACAGACACACAGATCAATGGAGCAGAATAGAGAGCCCGGAAATAAACCCCCACTTATATGGTTAACTGATCTATGACAAAGGAGGTAAAAATATACACTGGAGTAAAGTGTATGTTTCCCAACAAGTGGTGTTGGGAAAACTGGACATATACATGCAAAACAAAAAAAGAAACCCCATTTTTTTAAGGAGTGGACCACTCCTTTACACCATATGAAAAATAAATTCAAAATGGGTTAAAGACTTAAATGTAAGGCTTGAAACCATAAAACTCCTAGAAGAAAACATAGGAAGTAAACTGTTTGGTATCAGCCTAAGTAGTATCTTTTTGGATATATCCCCTCGAGCAAGGAAGACAAAAGCAAAAACAAACACATGGGACCACATCAAGCTGGTCAATATTTTTAAGCAATATATTTTCTAAGCCTCTTGGACCCTTATAGCTCTTTGTTCCTTTCAAAAAACGTATAACTGTCTTCTGGGTTCAATGATAGCTTTGTCCCTTAGAGCATGGCGCTTCTTCTATTATACTTCCTCTCCCTTCCTTCTGCTTTATATCCATTTCTCTTAAAATGTTTAACAAAATAATGCACTTTCCAAAAAGCATCATGCCTTATTTTGTCAGCAATTCCAGTACCTTGAATCTTCTGGACTTGAACTGTTAGAGGGGGGTACATGCAGAGACAGAATATTGTCCCACAACTTNCCCAGCAATAGTTTCTGGAATTTGTCTTCTTAACTGTTCTCTACAAGTCAGACTAAATCAGTTACAACAATTCTTGATATGAGATCCACAGTCAGAAGCACATCAGGCCTTCATTCCTTACCCAAGCAGCAGCCTCCAAAGAGAATATGTGGATGTTTCATTTCTCAGGGGAGCACAGAGAACCTGTACAGGTGACAAGCATTGGAACACAGCCAGTGTGACAGCAAGAAAGCTCTGTTACAGCCTTAACGTCTCAACATTTTGCGGCAGTTAGGCTGATCTCCAGGCCATCTCATCCTCAGGCATGGCACCGTTTGGCTGAAATGGCCCAATAAGACCATGGCCACGGGCCATACACTCTGGCCCCTCACATACTTCTGAAGACCCATGCTTGGGCATATGTGCGTGTCGAGGACTCACTGTAGCGTGTGCACACACATAACATACTACTCGTGCTGCGGTTGATCGCTTTCATTTGGATCCCAACCCTTCTGGGCCCATTACGCTAATCACCCAACAAATTCTGAACTGTCATCTCCTTGTAAGGCTGTCCCATGCCTGATTGAAAACCTGTTTCCACCCAACTTCCCAGCAAAAAGCCCACGAGCTACAGCCCATTTGCAAATGTGTGCTTCAATAAATCAAAAGTGACAGCAGAGACCTGGCTCTTCCAGAAGAGGGGGTGGCAGAGGGAGGGACTCAATCCTTCCACCTATTTCCCAAGTGATCCCTCTGGTGCACTATATGCAGCTTTGTTTGAAATATTCCCAAAGATGGGTCGTCTCCGACTCCCTCGGTTTAGATCATTCTCTAAACTGGTGATTCTTTCACTCCTGTCATTTTCCAAAGCATGTGTTCTTCTGTTAAGGCAGCCACACTCCACTGAGCCAAAGGAAGGAATCTGGCTCTCAGTGTTTACAGGTATTTCCTCTTTTGTTGTCACTTACCCAAGTGTAGCACATGGCGTTCTCTAATTCTTCTTCATTAATCAGTCCCCAAATTCCTTTACACTTGATCTCTCCGGTGATGCCATCAGATCAACATATTTCTGGAGCTGAAAATGTCTGGAAGGATAGAGCCTTCCAGCTGCAGTCACCATCACTGCAGGGGACTGGTGTGTTTGTACCTCACTCCACAGCCACATGTTTCCAGAGGTTCACTCCCAGGAGCCTTTGTGCTTCCATTTGCTTCTCTGCAAATGCACAGTCTATCTGTGTATTTTCTAATTGAGTCTTACAGGCATCACAAATTAAAATGTTGATTGATGACAGTGTTGGTGAGGGTATGGGGACACAGGCATGCTTTCACACATTGTTGAGAGGTCCAGTTGTCACATCTTTTTGAAGGTCGTTTTGACAATAGCTTTTAAAATCAAAGACCCTTCACCCAGCAGTGCAACTTTCCAGAATCTATACTACACATATAACATATCATTGCAGCATTATTTCAAAAAACTGAAAATAGCCTAAATGTCACTCAGTTGGAAATTATTAATAAATGAGTTAAATACAGTTTAGTGTACTCATACAATGGAAGACCAAGTAAACACACAACAAGAGCAACCCAGATCTATGTGTACTTACTTGGAAAGATGCCTAAGAAATATCATTAAGTTCAAAAGCAAATTGCAGGACAGCATATAAGATATGAGACCATTTTAACAATTTTTTATTCTAGCCATTTATAGGACAAAATCTGGAAGGATTCACATACATCTATTATGGATGCTTTTTTTCTGAGATCAGGGACTTTCGAAGACATACATTTTTTTAAAATTGGGTTTTCTCTGTTTTTTAACATTTAGTCCTTATTACTTTTAGTAAAAACAATAGAGATATTAAATTATTTCAGTCATGCTTCTGATCTAGAAAGATGACTTTTTTACGACACGTGCTCCCTGTTGCCTCTGCTGTCCTCTCCGTAGGTCTCAGACACTGAAGAGCTTTCCACGTGCTGGTCCAAGAATCCTTCACTTTTCCTGCAGTTCAGAACGGCAGTGCTGTCTTCTCAG